GAGGGTGGACACAAAAATATCATTACAACAAATAAAAATATCACTGTCGCTGGCAGTGTGGCATGGAATAGCGATTTAAAGTATAATCACGGCCAATCAAATTTTAAATTGAACACTTCCTGAAATCTCTTGTTGAATGGGCGGAAAAAATCATGAAGTACATCAATTACCATTGGGTCCACATCGGGATGTTTTCTACCTTTTGATTTCTGCAAGCAGGATCGAGTTGGCCCATTGATCATGCAGTAAAACCCACGCGTCTTGTTAAAATAAAAGTTGTCCTCGGTTATGAGTTGTTTCAATCCCAGAAATGTTTCAACTTTCTTGAGCTCATACGCAGGATTTGTGATCAATTTATCGCCGTCAACAATGTGTATCTGATCACGAGGGAAAATTGCTAACCATCGCTGTAAAAAATTAATGTACATACTCCGTTTAATACATTTGTAATTTGTGTCCACGTATCCCTCGGGCACCGCATATTTCTCAAACGAATCATATGGTATATTGCGTTCTTGCATATTCAACAGGATGTGCACGTACTGAGATATTGCCCGCGTTGTTGGTTCACGAACAATAACTAAAATTTTCATGTCTGGTTTCATAAAAGCAATTCGTTCAGGTGCGATTTCAGAGTCACAGTAGCCGGGTGTTTTTTCAATGGTTATTTGCGAAGGATAGGAAAGCGGCATCTGTCGTCTGTACCATTCAGCACCACGCGAGTAGTTCTCATCCTGATCAAAGAAATGCACTTCTTTTTGGGAGATTTGTATGTCTGGATGCATGTTTAACATCTTCAACAATGCACCAGTACCACTTTTCTGAACACCGATGATAAGGGCACTCGGTAAGTGTCTACGCATTCCAATTCCCATTACTCGGCCAAAGTCTTTATCATCAGCTACAGCTAGCGTTCGATCTACGCTGACCGCAGGATGGGGTGGGCAGTTCACATGATGCATATAGAAGAGCTTTCCGGCAAGGAAAAACAAGAAGACGCTTACAATGAAAGAACCAACAAGTACTTTAGTCCTTTTAGTTGTCGTCCAATCTGCAGTCATTTGGAGTTCGTTAATGTTTCATACACCATATCACAGAAAAACTGAAAAACACAACAAGCAATATTAGACAAACACAATTACAATGTATATGCTTTATAGACACCCTAAACAAAAGGCTTTGCTTTGAGTCCCAGGGAAACAACACAGGTTTAATATCCACTGTAGGATTATTCAATATCTCTAACAACAAGATCTGTGTTCTGTGTTATTATTAAATATGTGTATTCATATTTATCTGAAGAGATGTAGAAATCAGTTGTATAAAATGTACTGTTCAAAACGATCTTGTACTGAATAGTATGTTTTTTTAGCAGTGAAAAACCCAACCAAATGTAGATTATATATGAATGAATAATAGCTTTTAATGCAATGTTGTTGAAGGGCAGTAGTTATCATACAGCATGTCTTAGAATTTCATGTAAGCAATTTAATTTACACGCAATGTGTATGATGTTTTGAGTCCCATATTGAACAGAATGCAGCACAATGACCAATTTAATATTACCTACATTTTTCATTTTTATTGTCTTATTAAAAAATAAAATTATATATCCTTTCTAAATTGAAATTTGTGTTGTTATTTATTATCACATGCATAAATTGTGCATCACCACAGTGTGATGTAAGACAGGACAGATCAAAAACCCATATCATCACAGCGTGACATAAGACAGAGCAGATCAAAAACCCATATCATCACAGTGTGATGTAAGACAGGACAGATCAAAAAACCATATCACCACAGTGTGATGTAAGACAGGGCAGATTATAACCCATATCACCACAGTGTGACGCAAGACAGAACAGATCAAAAACCCATATCACCACAGTGTGATGTAACACACAACAGATCAAAAACACATATCACCACAGTGTGACGTAAGACAGGGCAGATCAAAAACCACTATCACCACAGTGTGACGTAAGACAGGGCAGATCAAAAACCCATATAATCACAGTGTGATGTAAGACGGCAGATCAAAAACCTATATCACCACAGTGTGATGTAATACAGGGCAGATCAAAAACCCATATAATCACAGTGTGATGTAAGACAGGGCAGATCAAAAACCCATATCACCACAGTGTGATGTAACACAGGGCAGATCAAAAACCTATATCACCACAGTGTGATGTAACACAGGGTAGATCAAAAACCCATATCACCACAGTGTGATGTAACACAGGGCAGATCAAAAACCCATATCACCACAGTGTGATGTAAGACAGGGCAGATCAAAAACCCATATCACCACAGTGTGATGTAACACACAACAGATCAAAAACCCATATCAGCACAGTGTGATGTAACACAGGGTAGATCAAAAACCCATATCACCACAGTGTGATGTAACACAGGGTAGATCAAAAACCCATATCACCACTGTGTGATGTAAGACAGGGCAGATCAAAAACCCATATCACCACAGTGTGATGTAACACAGGGTAGATCAAAAACCCATGTCACCACAGTGTGATGTAAGACAGGGCAGATCAAAAACCAATATCACCACAGTGTGATGTAATACAGGGCAGATTAAAAACCCATATCACCACAGTGTGACGTAAGACAGGGCAGATCAAAAACCTATATCACCACAGTGTGATGTAACACAGGGCAGATCAAAAACCCATATCACCACAGTGTGATGTAACACAGGGCAGATCAAAAACCTATATCACCACAGTGTGATGTAACACAGGGCAGATCAAAAACCTATATCACCACAGTGTGATGTAATACAGGGCAGATTAAAAACCTATATCACCACAGTGTGATGTAACACAGGGCAGATCAAAAACCTATATCACCACAGTGTGACGTAAGACAGGGCAGATCAAAAACCCATATCACCACAGTGAGATGTAACACAGGGCAGATCAAAAACCCATATCACCACAGTGTGACGTAAGACAGGGCAGATCAAAAACCCATATCACCACAGTGTGATGTAACACAGGGCAGATCAAAAACCTATATCACCACAGTGTGACGTAAGACAGGGCAGATCAAAAACCATATCACCACAGTGTGATGTAACACAGGGCAGATCAAAAACCTATATCACCACAGTGTGATGTAAGATAGGGCAGATCAAAAACCTATATCACCACAGTGTGATGTAACACAGGGCAGATCAAAAACCTATATCACCACAGTGTGACGTAAGACAGGGCAGATCAAAAACCCATATCACCACAGTGTGATGTAACACAGGGCAGATCAAAAACCCATGTCATCACAGTGTGATGTAAGACAGGACAGATCAAAAACCCATATCACCACAGTGTGATGTAACACAGGGCAGATCAAAAACCCATATCACCACAGTGTGATGTAAGACAGGGCAGATCAAAAACCCATATCACCACAGCGTGACATAAGACAGAGCAGATCAAAAACCCATATCACCACAATGTTAGGTCACAGAGGGCCAAGCGTTTTTTCATTGCCCGGAGCTTCCAGGCTTAGATATTCGATCCAATAAAATGGTCCATGCTTGATATAACAGAATAACACAGCTACATTGTAAGGCGAATAAGAATGAATACAGTCGACCAGCTGACTTCAGCGATGGACAAATACTAGCTTATCTATAACTATAGTGTAACAGTATAGTCCCTTGTACAGATGTGTTTTGTTTACTTTAACCAATAGACTGTGAAATTGCAGTGTTTGCTAAATGGATTACAGAATTTTCTTCCACAACAGGTGATTTTCCGTACAATTGCAAGATCTCGCGAGATGCATGAAAGACGCGCGTCGAACGTCTGCCGCAAAAATCGAACGATTTGATTTTGAACTAGAATTTCTTTACCGGCCGATCTTCGACAGAGGAATATTGCTTCCGAATACCCTTACTTAATCAAAATTGCCTATCATCAAATGTGGACAGCACATTATTAAGCATGGAAATGTCCCGGAAATACTTTCGCGTTTGTCGAATCCCACGCGATGTTTGACGTGAACGAAAAATGGTCTATTGTGTACATGTAGGAATGAAACTCAGACTTCATACAAAATGCTAGAAGACCCACCCTGTATTGATTTCTATTCCAAATATAAATAATATTTCTAGTAACTGCGTTTACCAAAAATTAAGCAGCACCTTCAATCTCTTGATATTTTTTTTATTCAAATTTGATTCAACAAAAGCCATAAAATATGACCTTTTAATATTTTATGTAATTTTTGCCATAGAGGGCATGCTTTCTATTGAAGCAACACAGAAACAAAACTGATGAAGTTACATTATGATTACATTATGATTTATTTCATTTATTTATTTCATGATTTATTTTAATAATAACAATTCTAGTAATCTTATATTAATAATAAATATTAATAATAATAATATTAATAATAATAATAATAATAATAATAATAATAATAATAATAATTTCTTGGTGTGGACCACAGAGGTACATGTAGTTCATGCGAACTAATCTAGTCTGTGGCCTAATCCTAACCAATATACATTTCTATGCAGGCTATATATATATATGTATATATACGTACACACACAT